ACTCATATTTTTGTTTCCTTGCAGATTGCATCATGCCAGGGCTAGACTTCTGGCTGGGAAACAAATATCTCCAGAGTCAGATTGACAGGAATATTTCCCCCCATCATTTTCTTTGTCTGTGAAGCAGGCTGTATATATCATCAGCTGCAATTCTTAGGTACATCTCTCTAAAGGGCTTGCCTGCCACATCATTGGCTGGGGATAATGTTGACACCTTTATAGTCTCTTTTCCTTATACTTGTAACAATCAGTTGAATTTCTCAGGTTTTTTAGGTACTTAGTTTAGTTAACTCTTTTAGTTTTATATAAGTATAACTGAGTTAAATGTAATGGCTGTGACAGAGAGATGGCCATGGTGAATTATCTAATATTTTTTATATTAACTTCCACTTATGCACAGCATTCCCAGACACTTATATGTTTCAGTAGATTCACTCAATTTCAATGCAGAATCACTCACTTAATCCATCACTGATACTTTTATAGACTTGCACGCTGTCTGGGAGATAAATTGAAGAAAAGAATATTAGTCTTTGCAACATTAACTCAAAAAAGAAGTAGTGGTAGCCTCAGCTATATACATTAGGATAGTTTTGCTTAGAACATGCCCAAGCCTGCCCTTCTGTAGCCTCGCAGTTATCACTATCCAATAATCACGAGTGGAAGAATGAAGACTGCACTGCATCCACTGCGGTTTTTAAATTAGTGTGGTCTATTTCTTTTTTTCCTCATGGTGTCACTATAGGATAAAGTTAATGCTCATTGGGTATTCTCTGTACTGGAGCATATTTCCATTTCCTTTGTCTCACTGGCTTTCTGATTTTCTTTTATATGCTTAGAAAAGAAGATAAATTTCAAACACGCTTTCTCAATCTCTCAAGCACTGGCCTATCCTTAACACTAAGGATGATTTTTTTTTTTTTTTTTCCCTAAGGACTTAATACTAGAATGAATTTAGCTTTATATAAGGGCATGGAGAATTCTAGCAGTTCTAGTGACTTGAAAATAGGAAATGTTTAAAAAGACAAAAAGTCATATATCTTACAATCAATTGACCTTATGAAGTTACACCTGTGACTGACTTCATCTTGCATAGAAGCTGTATGAATCGCAGTATGGGTCCAACCTCCCTGCTCAAGCAGGATCATCCTAGAGCATGTGACACAGGCCTGCATCCAGGCAGCAGTTCTTAAATATTTCCAGTAAGCTTCATCTTTCCTTATGTTGTTGTAATGTGTTTTGAATTCAGCTTTTGATTGATAGAAAAAGCAGTTTTCCTATCCAAGCTCAGTGCCAAGAGAAAACAGGAGAGAGAGAGAGGGAGACAGTTTGGTTCCATTTACATAGTGATGGCATGGATGGCATTTTTATCTGCCTAGTTGTTACCACTTTACCCAGACCCACACTCTTGAATATATTTAGTTACCTGACTTCCACAGAAGGAAGAAAGATGTGGCACTCTGTAAAAGTTGAATAGGATTGAAGAGAAATTTGCTTGTGGTCTTTACAAGAGCAGGAGCCAGCTGGAGATGCTGTTTCCCATTCATGCATTTGGAACACAGCCTTCCTGAAAGGCAAGGACCATAGGCCATTTCTCTGCTTTCCCTCTTCTGCCTCTTCAGCAGGACAGTGGTGTTTGGGCTGGTTACATTCAGGCTTGTAATGAGGATGAGTGTGACTATCTAGTCAGTAGGAGCAAAATCACTCACCAGTTTGACAAAATCTACATGCAGTATTTCACTTGTGGCTAGCCTCTGTCTAGCTCAGGTTATCAAGTGTGAAAGTTAACTAGAACCAGCATATGGTCAACCAGAATCAGCATGACCTGATAGCACTAGAGTCAGTTTGCTGATTTAGCAATGTTGTTTCACCTAAAGAAGTCCAATATTACTGAACAATTGCAGAACTTTTCAGTAGAAGCCTAAGAACTATCCCCCTGTGCTTTCCAGTGTGCTGAAAATCCTGCCAGGATTTCCAGCCAGTTAATAATCCTTTTTTCTCCCACTCTCTTCAGATGGTCTTTTAACAAGAGGTAACAAATATTCCTCTTCTTAGATAAGTGCCCACATCTAAACATTGTCTCTAATCCCTATGCCATGTCTCTCACGTGCTTGTCACTGCCATGCAGCTCCTTCATGGAGTCTGTTGTTCTTTGGGCTGGTACTTTGGAGATAGTTGAAGTTACTCTTTGCAGATGGTTCTCTTGTTGACATCTTAGACACCATCTTCCAGTGAAGTGTGAAGCAGGCCAGCTAAACAGCAAATATTGAAAGAAATCTAGTGCAAAATTAGAGTCTTGCGTGTGGCACAAACTGCCTGTTTTAATCTAGCATGGTAGATGGACTATTTCACAGTTGTATGTGCATTAGTTGTCTAGCATGCTGCTTCATTTCCAAAGGACAGACAAAAATCTTCACAACCTGATGATTCCCTTGCCAATGGTTACCATTTTATGGCCATACCAGTTTTTGATGCTGAGATGCATGACTGCAAGGCATGCATACCTTGTGGCCGCAGCCTCTCACAAACTTCCTGGCAGAATACCAGAACCAGAGATGCTGAGTGTTTCTTCCTGCCAGCTATGAGCAGTGGCTCTTCTGGCTTTTCATAAACATCAGGTCAGTTTGGAGGAGTCACTGCATCCAATCTCAAACGCAACACCAACATCTGCTTTAGGAAACACAGAAGTTCCCTGTTTGTCAGGACTTTCTGCAGTTTTAAGTCTTGTCTCAGCAGCATCTTTTTTACAGTGCGTATGTGGTGGTGCATCCCCTCTCACACTGGCCTACACTATGATTTCAGAAATACTTCTTAGACCTTGGCCTTGATGAATGACAGCTCAGCTAAGCTCCATGAGCTTATCAGAAACCCTCTGTGCTCCCAGGAACTTATTTTGGCTAATGAGCTCCTATTTTATAGCGAACAGTCTTGGAAACCTATTTTTCTTGCCCGCCTAAGAATGCAAGTGTAACACTGCTTTTATGATTGAACTTACACAGAAAGGTACTGACCTGAATTATGGCCAGGATGGAAAATTGCTGTGACAAGAAAAAATTGCTGAAACAAAAGAAAACACTCTTGCAACCCTGTGGTTCTAAGTGAGACCCTCTGAGCTCTCCTGGACCACAGAAGGCTGTAGCCAGCAATTCACTCTGAGGAGGACACTCCTCCGAGTGAGAAAATTGTCAAGCTCACTCTTTTTGTAGGACCACTGGCAAAAGCCAACGATAGAGCCTGGGCTGATACCCCCACTCCTCAAGGCTCAACTCTTTGTCCTTCAAAATGATGCAAAGGCATCCAACATGAGTATTTCACTGATCCTGAGGGAAATTTTTCACAGGTGTGTGTCCACATTCCTTTAGTGTGTGTCTGCCGAGTGTGAATATGGTATTGCAAATCATTGTGGTTTAAAACCAAACAGCTATTTCCCTTCTCCACAATCCCCTCCAGAGAGAAAGGGACAAAAAAAATGGACCCAGAGATTATGGGTTAAGATAACAATTTACTAAAGAAAAAGCAATGACAGAAGAAAACCAAACAGTAACAGCAAACAGTACTCATAACAACAGTGTGGAAAAGAGGTGATTTACATACAAAAAGGTGCTCACCACCCCACCCAGCTCTGCATGGCCACCAAGACAAAGACAAAATGGTGGATGTTACCCATTAACAACAGCGTATTAGAGACCTCACTACTCACATGATTCTCAAAACCCTTTGTTACCCACATTCTCATTTAGATTTCAATTTGCTTACCTTCTCATGTCAAATGCAATCTGCTTCTGTATCAGCTCTCTTGCCTATTCTCTGCCTTCCCACTCTAAGTCAGTCATTGGAATTAACTCTTGGTTTTCCAGCATCCAAATGCTCCAGTTATTTCACATACCCTCCCTTACCTGCGTCTGCTTCCCTAAAGGTCAAGAACAGCAATTTTCCCGACTGATCTTATAGAGGTCTCTGGTTTTTCCCTACTTTCACTCTTAAGACTGACGATTCTCTCCTTACTGCTTATGTACTTCCAGCATACCAGGAACTTAAATGAAAAGTCATCTCTACCAAAAAAGCCAAAAGATAAGTGGTAACTTCTTTGGATTAATGCAAGTTTGTAGAAGTCCCTTTGGATCTAAAGAACGGACTGCTGAACCACTATCCCATGCTAGAGGAGACCCTGTGGACTTCTCTCCAGCTGGCTTACACTGGTATTGGTGAGTAGATGGATATATTTCCTTCTAAAATCCCAGGTTTCTGCAAATACAGAAGTCCTTGATGTGTGTTAATTCTTATCTTTCCTTCCAGTTTAAATTTGCCTGCTGTGGGGGCTTCAGTTGTTCACTGCCTGTGTCCCAAAACCTTCACACTCAATTCTCTGCCCTATAAGTCTTTCTTTTCATCTGTCCCATCTTTCATCAGTCCTGCTAGTTATCGTCAGTCTCTCTTGCCCCAATTATCTCTCCCAAATGAGTTCAGCTGCTTCCTGTGCCACCTTAGCTGCTTGACATCTCTTTGATAAACCTAGATCAAATTCTTCCTGCAAGATAGCAGTCCTTCCTGTTGTTTCACACCTTTCCTTTACATCTGCTGAGAGTTTTGCTGCAGCTCCTGTCTCATGCTTTAATTTTAGGGGTCACTCAGCTGCATAAGAGATGCCCCAGTTTTATACCCTGAAAACCTGGCCCGTTTGTACTTTACGTGCCTGAAGTGAATGTGTTTTAACATAACTCCTGCACAAATCTTTACAGGGTGTGATTAAATATGGGAAATCAGCAGTTGAGTAGAGCATGGAAGAACCAGTTAATTGAGGACTTCAAAGTGTAATGTTTTTACCATCTGTAAACAAAATCTGTATTGCAAACCAAAATTCTCTCCACAGCAATTCCTATGTTTCCTTGGTAGAAGAATCAAAGCCCAATGAAATGGGTGAAGGGGATCTTCCACTGATTTTAGTATCCTTTGCATCAGGCCCCTGATTTCCCTTAGCAATGATAAAATGATACACAAAGCTGGGACTGTACAACTTCCTTTTATTTTGTGTGCTTTTATAGGATATAAATAAATGACAAAATTACAAAATTTATAACTGGAAGCCCAAGCATATTTACATAAGTATTTGTTGCAGTGAGGCTACTATTTACTGTTCTCCTATACAATTTTCCTTTTGGTACCATATTTTTAGTGTTATTTTTTTTTTTACTGTCAGTTGACTAAGTACATATCAACAGTGAATAAGCAAAAATATGTACAAGGAACTATTTTGTTCAAGTAAATTGAATACTGTATTAAAAGGATGTCATCACTCAGCGCTATGATTAGGTTTAACTAAACCATATACAATTATCAGTTTTAAACCAAGTTCAATTATCCATTTTTTGGAATATACCAGCTGATGATTCTAACTGAAAAACCTCAGCTGGATATAAAATAATAATTAAAAAAACATTAAGACAACCACACAATTTATCAATATCTCTATAATGAACTTCAAAATGATTCACAATTTGACTGGAAAGAACAATATACGTTAAAATGTCATTTTTCTCCTATAATGATATTTTTACTGTTATAATTTCAGTTCTACATAAATATACATCATGGTATTATACAAATACTCCACAGACATTAAAAAAATTAAAACACTTTAAAGAAAAAGTAAGTAAATCTTATTTAACCAAATATTAAGCAAATGCTTAATTATTTTGTTTCATGAAAACATTTTTTATTACTTTGGAATTTTTTTATTTTTCTTGCTGTTTTTATTTAGAAAATGTTTTGCAGTAGAATTTTATCAACACTCTTCCAAACAAGCTTTCTGTGACAGAAATCTTGATAGCAAAATCCATATTTTTGACTTTTTTAGAACCACTGAGATTATTTTTTTTAAAAATACTATTAGAATTCATGGCTATAGCAATGTTGAACTGCATAAACTATATGTAGGTGTAGTAGAATGACCATTCCACTTGCATTCCAGACTTATCACACAGAACATCCAGTGCACTGATGCTGCAACTCTTATAATTTTCATAATGCTGCAATTGCAGTCATTTACTTAACTTTAAAATAAACAATATTTCTCATAATTAATCTGGCTTCCTTCCATAAATATTCATATGTTTTCCTATAGTACTTCTCTTCCATAAAAATATCTAATAAATGTTTTCTGTGCATTATTAATACCTTTTTCTAACCATTCATAAAACTCTGATCCTTTGCTACAATGCAAGAGGTTCTTATTTCTGTAGAGGATCAAAGGACATCAATGATTACATATAAAATCAGTGCACACAGAAATCAGGGTGCCTAATTTCTTGTCACTTTAATGAATTCTTTATTCAACACAATAATTATTAATGAATTCAGTGGTTTCACAAACAATCTATTTATTAATTCTGCTTCTATTTCAATTAAAAACTGCCAAGATTTAAATAAAAAACCCAATCAAATACTCTAGTCATAGGCAGCATTAGTATTAGTTTAGAGCTATTTTGTTTTTTTTTTCTTTAAAAAGTAGAATTTTAAAATAAGAAATCAAAGAATGCACTGTGGCAGAGTCACAAGGGAGAACTGCACAAAAAATAAGGTTTCTCATTCCTCTTGTGGACTGTAATTTTAAAAGTCTTCAAATATTGTCATTCTTCAGTCAGTGCTGCAGGAAGAAGAACATCACCAGAAATGACTGTCAGCCTTTTTTGTTAGTTACAAGGCCACTCATACAGTGCAGTCTTCCTCTCTGCTGGATTGAAACGTTGCCATAAAGGAAAGGCTGTGCTGTGACTGCTTGGCGTGCAAGGCACAACAAGGAACAGGGGGACAGTTTTGTATCAGAAAATTGTAGTTTCATACTTGGTATTAATGCCTCTTTTGGCCTCTTGTCCAGGTTCAACAATCCAGGGTAGATTCGCAAGAGTCTTTTGTTCGGATGGATCTATCTGCTTTAAGACAAATGCAAACATACAGACGGGTTACCATCTCCGTGCACGGCAGCTTGAGCAGAGGGTTTTTCTTTAAACTAACAGGGCAAATCCCGAATTGACAAAGTCGTACAGCAGCAAGTATGGTGGTGTCTACACTCCCATGTACTCATGGCTGCCTTCTTCTTCCTGTTGAGATCAGAGCTGTGTTTACCCCCAAGCTATAGGGCATCATAGTTCATTAAAGCCACACTTCATCCTTAGAAGTCTGTTCGCTAATGAGACAGACGATGGCATCAGGAAATGTTTCTACTTAAAGTTTTATGGAGGAAGATTCTGTGGCAATGGATGACAAAGTGTACATTCATACATTTCCCCCCCGCTTCCCCTCACCCAAGAATTAAGTGTCATAGAGTACAGTTCTCACGTTATAGTCAGTGAATACGATACAGTGTGCGGTCATTTTTCTCCTTTCCCTCCCAAATCACCCCAAGGCCGTGTTATTACTTAATTTATAATATTTTTGATAATTTTTTAAAAAGCTCTACTGTAAAATAATTTTTATCATCTCTGCACTTCAGGAGGGCACTTTTAAGGCAATCAAAAAGTATGCTTCAGTGAGCTTTGTTTTTTAGGAGTCTGTGATTAACACTGAAAAGGTATATTGAATCCCAGATTAAAAAAAAAAAAAAAAAAAAAAAAAAAAAAAAAAAAAAAAAAAAAAAAAAAAAAAAAAAAAAAGAAGGAAAAGGGTAAGAAAAGAAGTTGCTTGGTCCAGAATAATTGTTAATTGATTTGGATTTGTAATTTGATTAGGATACATATGCCATGATTGTATACCAAAGAAATTAAGTGATAGATTAGGAAAGTCCATGAAACCTCATGGAGAGGTATGCATTGATTAAACTGAATTAATTAAAGTTCAGTAATTACTATAAGACACAAGACTAACCAAGCAACATCTTAATCTGGAGAAATTTGAAATAAGCAGTTGTTTGAAATGGCTGCCAGTGCTGTGGTGACACAACCCTGCCAGCTGATGAGCAAGGTGGCATGATGGAGCATTTCTGATTCAAGAGGTATTTTTATTTGTACAGCTTCTAGTATATAAACTCTTAACTGTATAGCTGAATTTTGAGGTTTTTTGCATGCATTACTACCTTCTACTTACCACTGACTTCCGAATACTAACACGTGGTTTGGGAATAGGTTTAGAGGGTTTGTTTTCAAAGCTTTCAGGAAGGGTTGAAGAATGACCCCCTTTTCGTGCCTGTAGTGCAAGCTGATAGGCCACCTCAAATGCTTGTCCTAGTGTAAGAATGATTTCATAAGCTAAATTCTGGAACAAAACAGAAACAGTTAAAAATGAGGTGAGGTTGAATTATTGTCAGATGCATGAAGTAGGGTAGTGATTTGCAATGTAAATAATTAAAATCATGCTGGTAATAAATTCCTCACTCTCTGTGATGTTTACATCTGTCATTTGATTTCTCATTGATTAAAAACTATCTAAAAGTAATTTATTGTATTGAGAGTAATTGCTTCTAAACCCCTTGAAAACATCTTTACTAAACATGAAAACATGAGTGGGTGGGTGTGTTGTCATCTCTTTTTAGAACAAGTACATTAACCTTCCCACCTTCCCAACTTATCCCATGCCTGCTCTTCTCGGGATCCAGCCCCTCTTGCACTGTTGCAATGTGACATTTGGCCTTGCTCTATTTCAGAACTCCTGTGCTGACCTGTCCTCCTCCAGAGCCAGCCCGAGTGCTGCTCCCCCGGGCACACGCCTTGGGATGCTCTCTGCTCACCAAGCAGCACAGGAAGAGGCTGCAGCCTGGGTGTGATGTTTTCAAAGGGACAAAGAGCCAGGGCTGGAAGTGTGTGCTCCTAGTGACAGATATAGTGCAGGCAGCTGTGTGTGCAGGTCAGTGCGCCACTTCAAGTGTGTGCTGCAAGTCCTGGCGTAAACCTTCTCATGGGTTTGTTTTCTAGAAGTAAAATTGAGCTCAAACAGTTGTGTAACAACACTCCTGTAAGCAAGGGGAAGGGAGGTTAGTGGGCATAACCAAAAAAGTCAGGCTATTATGTCTAAAACCAGTCCAGTGTTATAGGTGGAATACTTTAAATCCTCTTTGAATATGGGGAAGAAAACCTGTTGAAATATTTATAATGCATGAATGAGGTATCAGAGAGGTTGATATAAATATCTTTTCAGTACAGTTATACATGAATGAAAAAGCAGCTGGGAGTTTCAAATTTGACCTTAGTCTAAATGGCAAGTATGGTAAATCCTATGGTAATTTTTCTTCAGGTTTGTGGGTTTGTTTTTGTGTATTTATCTTCAGGCTCCTACTGGAACCTATTTTTAGGCTCCTACTAGAGCCTATTTCTGGGCTACTAACTCTGCAATAATGTTTAGAACCCCTGCAGAGCAAAGGCAAGCCTGTTGGCTTGCCTCCATATGATGTCCTACAGTCCCCTTGGAATAATTCATAAATCTTTGATATGATTTAGCTGTTACCCTCTCCTTCCTCAATCTCCATAGCCTATAGTAGGAAGCAATTCTGCATTGCTTTGAACCTAGGTGATCCCTTAAAATTCCCAAGTTTCTGATGCTTTTTCAAATGAGTTATGTCTTTACTAATCAAGTCTAACTGTTAAGTTTGCAGAAAATGAGAAACCAATGCAATGCACTTGGAAGTACACTACTTTCAGCCACTTCAATCATTAAAATAAAGTTAAATGGACAAGCATTGTATTTCATGCCTTATACTTTAATTTCCCTGAAGAATTTCCATTCCTTTTTTATCACTCATGTATACTGATATAATACAGGCTAAATTCAGCCTATTTTGCTCATTATAAGAGCTTCTTATAAAGGTGCCAGTTCTGCTCTGTGTTAGGTCAGGCAGAAAACAATTATACTCCTGCACTGGGACTTGCTCTCTGCTGTTACGACTACAGTCACAACAGCAAGCCAGCCAAAATTTTACAACTTCCCAAATAAAAATGTCTGCCTGATTTGATAGCTGTAGTCTCCAAATTATCTCCCCTTAAACTTCAAGGGAAACTGTCCAGAATTGAAAAACACTGAGGCTGCAGTTTGTCAGTGGAATAATAAAAGAAAAACTAAAGAGCCTGTTATAAAGTGCTCTGCCTTTTAGCAGAATGCTGGCCAAGGAATTAAGAGCAACAGATTATAGTTGTTAAAAATGTAGAGAATAATATAATTTGAAATGGAGTGTAATTTAAGTGGGATAAAAATATTATTCTAAAGAGAGGTGTCTTTAGAATCAGCTGTCATGACAGTAAGAGAGTGTACTAGATCATGATGGCATTGTCTACAGTGGATATTATTAATATTACCAAGGAGTATATCAGCAGGACAAGATGTAGGAATGGCTTGTTGGAGAATATGCAGGCTGCAATACTAGTAGGACTGAAAAAATACACCACCTAGCTTGGCATACAAGAAGATCACTGAGATAAGCCTGAAAATTTGGGAGATAGGATCAGACTGAAAGTTTGCCATACTGAGCTATAAATTTAGTTTAAGTCCTGAATCTTGTATAAAGCCACTATTATCTGTTTACCTTTGCTGTCTGTAAAATGAAAAAAAAACATGCCTGCCTGGGACCTGAAAACCATAAGAAATATTTAACTGCTTCTCTGGTTAATAAATATTTGAAATATAGAAAAAAAAATAGAAAATTCACTGTTCTATTCAATATTTGAAATGAAAACTGAACCATAACTTGTACATAAATTTCATACAATGTGGTAGAGCCTTGACAAAGGTAAGTCTGCAAATGGAGGCAAGGACGGCTTTAAAACTGTACCTTGTGAAATCTTTAAAAGTTATCTGAAAAAAACCCCATAAGTAAATAAACTTGGTTTGAGGAATTTCCCACCTGTTGTACTGGGAAAGGATTATAAGGACCAGAGTTGGTACAGATTCTTGCAGGGGTTGTGTTGGACTGGTAGGAACAGGATTCCCTTCAGGACAGGGGTGGAAAAGCACACCAAAATCCATTGTGGAAATTCTTCTGATGGAATGAAGCGATTACTTGAACTAAAAATGTTCAAATAAGTTCCAAAGTTCAAAAGCACGAGGCACAAAAGGAAGGATGCAGGTCTCCCTCTCTGACAGACGTTTAGCATGGATGCTGTAGAACCCCTGGCTGCTGTAGGAGACACTGACTCTCACAGCACCCCATCAAGCATCTCAGAAAGGAGAGAGAAAGGCCTGTGGGGCTTCCCAGGCTGCTCCTTGCCTGGTAAGGCAGAGAGGGAAAGTGAGTAAGCCAATGCTTGTAAGCAACAATTTCTGGGAGGCCAGGAATGAGGTCAACTGCCTTGTTTGCCAGGCAAAGCTCCAATTCAGAGCCCCAGCCCAAGTCTGAGTCAGGATTCTTCAGCTTTAACTCAGCCAACCTATTACAATAGCTAATTGTTTCCTTACATTTTAACTGACTTTTTTGTTGTCTTCTATTCATAGGTGCACTGGGCAATGAAGGATTATCTGATGGGAATTACTTTGGGTATCTCCAATACACAAACCAGAAATTGATATAGATATTGTTGGCTTGTTTCTCCAGAGGGAATCCTTCACTCATAGATTTAAAGCTGCTTAGTCAAAGAATGAAAATGAAGTGGATCTCAAACATTGAGCAATAAATCCTCTTCTTCCCCCAAACCTTTTCCCCTTCAATATTCTGTAATAATGTCTGATATTTTTACAATTTAGAATTTTAATTTTGAGTTAAAGTTAAATGTACAGTTACACCTAAATTTTATCAGTAATGCTTGTCGTTGCATGTCACTACACTAAAATACTTCCCTACCTATAAATAAATTATTCTTGCCCACATTTCCTGAGACACTGAAGGACCTGAGAGAATGTTTTTTTTTTTTTTCATAACATTACATATATTGTATTACCAAAATATATATGGTTTAAAATGCCTTACATCTTACTGGGGATTTCTACCATTTTAAACCTCAATTTTCTTAAAATGATTGCACTTCTATCCATTGGCAAATGGGTAGAATTGTTTCTATTAGCAAATGGGGTGATCAGATTAACATGAACATTAGGCATTAAACAGAAAATTTAACTCACAGTATGCTTGTACTCTGAACATCTAGCTAGTTTTTATAGAGCTTGTACTTGCATCAAAAATCCTAACTCCCGAGGAAAAAAGAACAACACAAAAAGAGGATATTTGAGTAAGTAACACCCAACTGAGGATTAGGTTGCAGGAGAAAACTAAGTTAAGAGGGTTAAAGTTTTTGCATTTCTTAAAATAGCCATTTAAAGTACTTGGGATATTAAATGCTCCTCCTAAGGTACAGGAAGTGGGCAAAATGTAATTATTCCTGGATCACTTTTCTTCCCTTGCCAAGAAAGGAGATAAATTTCATCTGCAATACCTGAGTCTACATTTCTGCTTGATTACTAAACCTATAAATGAAACTGCAGTACTTCAAAACCATTAAGTACAATTTAAATAGACCAGGAGAAATAATAGCCTCACTCAAACAGTCTAATTTCGGTTGTTCACACATCACTAAAACTTATAAAATGTAGCATCTTGTTGATCATTGTCTATCTATTTTTAACACAATTTCAAAGTTTTCCTACTCCCTGTGGATATTAAAATGTCAGCAGGGAATTTAAATAACAAAAGCACTCAACCAAACTGCTAGAATTCCTCTAACCTACCTGTACATCTTGTTATTTATATTCTGCCACACACTATTGCTGTTCATGTTGACTATTTCCCCAGTTCCAAATAAAAAGCTGCAGTTCAGGTACCCTGTTCTTTTGATTTAACTTATTTATATTCATATAAGCATGTTTCAAGAATTCGTACACAATATACTCTATTAAAATTTTTTCTTGAATGATTTTGTAGTTTTAATAGCACCTTAAATTTCTCTTGTGCACAACTCAAAGAATAAGTTTTCTTGAAAGTTTTGGACTATAAATCTTAGTCATAAAACTTTAGCCACTACTTAGTTCACCAAATTTAACTGAAAACTTAATGACTGATTAATTGCTATGTGTTCATGATTTCTTGAAACCATAATAGTTTGTGCATCCCCACCTGAAAAATATAAGTATAGGAAGAAATGACAAATTTTCCACCAATATAATAGGAGCTCCAAGGACTTTTGCTGAAGCAAATTTGAGATATGTAGGCAAAAATTACAGAACAAGGAAATTAGAATTAAATAATTAATTTGCTACTTTAAAAATAAAGGCAATCTTTTGGTGTGTACTGAGATTTCAGAATGGCTGGCCAAACATACTTGCTACAAACTTTTGGAAACCTTACGCTTATAGGTTAGGTTATAAGAATTATATGTCCACACTTGTTTGAAAAGCTATTTGCTTTTATACAGTCAATAACTGAGGTGACAGAGGTGACTTATTTCCAGTGGGAAATGAGATATCAAAGAAAATCTTTGCTCATCTCCAGAAATGTCCTTTTGCTATCCCCTAGCGATCTTTTCCTAGGGTAAATTAATGATGCCTTCCATTAATCACCATTAATATATCCTGAAAATGTTTTAACAGAACTAAGTATTACGAATAGACAGAACTATTAAATGAAATATCATCTATAAACTGACCACATCAAACGCAGTGAATACGTGGCAGTAGTGGTGATTAGTCTTCAAGTCTTTAGTGATGTACGCAAACGTAGAAAGGTCTTCGGGGTCTTGTGCAGCACAGGAAATGTTACGGATTTCATGTTCGGCAATAATATTCTGTTTTAAAAAAAAATTTTCAATCAATTTAAGAATTACATTTAAAAGAGCTGTAAAAGGTGTGGGTTTAGATTCACATTTGCGTTGATCTACTGTACCGAAGTGTTTCAGAAATATCCTGAAAAAAAGAGATTTAATATACACCATGTAAGATAATACACAGGTATTTGGAATTTTGACCCTCTCCAGTTGCCAATCATCTGGTAGGAAACCATTATATTCTAGAGTCTTCTCTATGAGACCACTTGTGCTTTGCAGTTTATTCAGGTTCCTTTGACAGAGACATCATTCCCAGCACACAGGACACCACTTCATAAGATGATGGTCTAGTGATCCAAAACTGTATTAATAATACAATTTCAAAGCACTAGACCAGCATCTTATGAAGTTCCTGGGCTTTTGTATAAAGATCAAAATGGGACACTGCTTCAGTCTACCGACAGACAAGATCTGGTGAAACCCAGCAAGCTCAATAGCCAGCTTTTTGCACATGCTATTTGACAATTTTAGCTATAGTTCCTCAGGATAAAAAAACACCAAACACTCCTTATAATTGAAACCATGAGAAATTTAAAGGATTCTGATTACTAAAATGGTAAATACAGGAGGATCTGGGAGCTTATCTCCACTTCCTGACAGCAGCATCTGTTAGGAGAGATGTAGGAAAATGAAACTGTTCATGCACCAAGCGACACTACTTGCAGCAGCCAATGTAAGCTATAGCACAGTACTGGGAGAGAGGTGGGGCCTGTCTGTCCAATGCTATAAAAAAAGCTATCTTAAAGCTTTGAAGAAAATGATGAATACTCATTACATAAACTGCTGATGTGTAATTACTATGTTCAGGCCAAAGGAACCATGAAGCCAGAGAAGATACAGCAGAGTGGCTTAGGATTAGACCTTGCTTCAGCAACATATATGTTTCAAATGGTTTGTTTAAAGAGAAGAATGATTCACTCAATAGGAATTTACTTAGGGGTTAGTTTATATGAATTCTTGAATTATAGCCCTGCTGTCTGTAGCTCTGGCACTTCCACAAAAGCCCACAGTGACATATCCTGCTGCAGCATGACATCACTACTGCATCATGGAACAGGTGACACCTGTAGTGTCCCAGTTCCTCAGACAGCCACCATTTGCTGCTGCCACGGTGGCATTTGTCCAAGTTAAAACAATCTCTGAGCATATCTGGTTTTCCCTCACCCCTCTCTTATCCTTCCTACCTCATTTCCTCCACCTCCTTTTTTAATTGACTTTTTTTTAATACATGCAACTAAATTACTTCAGATGCTTTGCCATATCTTCTCTCATTTGCTAAGTGTCAACTTTCCCCCTTGCATGTAGGTGCCAAGTTAACAAAAAGAAGTATTAACATATCTAATTGAAGAAATCATGACTTAGGAAAAATCTTAATAAAAAGCATACCAAATTTCAAAGTATGGAAAAACTGAGATAAGGAAACTTTACTGAAGAAAAGAAGTAATCCTCTTAAATTGTTGCAACATACTTGATTATTTCTGTTTAATGCATTATTCATAAAAATCACAAAACCAGTACTTGTGTTTCAATATATTCCAATCTATAATGACATGTATAATCTCTGCTCAACAATTGTTTGCTTTTTATGCTACTTGAAGCACTTTATTTTCTTTGTTCTCAAATTGATAACTTTTACCATCAATAAATATTTTTATGAGAATTAGAATTATACCAAAACCAGGGATTTAGATATTCACAGATGGAGGTGTAATGCACTGTCATTGATGTAGTGTTGGCAAAATTGTAGTTCAGAAAGCAGAAAGAATTCATGTTTGGAAGGTGTCAAAATCTTATGTGAAGTATTTATGCCAAATCATGAGCCAAAATGTAATCACCTGAATTTATGCAGCATAGGTGAAAAGAACTCTACTATGCTGAAACTTTTTCTAGGTGACTTGGAGTTGGCACAAGATTTGCATTAATTATTTTAATGTTTTAATTTTAAGTCAAGTGAATTTTAGAAACATATACATATCAAGTCTGTTTTGGATAATATAAAGTATCCCTAAACAAAATATTCTGGATAGAAATTGGTAGTGAAATTGAGATTTTTTCCTAGCTGCTCTAGGATGTCCACTGTGATCTCCTTTCAAAAGTAAACATTTTTCAGTCCATGCTTTTACTGTGCCCTACTGTCACATTTCACTAGACCATGGTCTCATTCTGTAGGAAATAGAAGGTTATGAACCAGCTTCCTGCTCTGGGTACACTCCTCAGACACTGACTGACACTGTAGAGATGTTCTAAAAATTGTCTTTCAGTTTGGCAAGACAAACCTCCAGTGCTTCTCAAAAAGTGGGGAAGCTGAAAGTAATTTCTGGTTCTGCCAAGGAAATACCTTGGAGAGACCAGGTTTTTGCTAAGCAGCCTTCCTTTTGCTTGCCTACCTCATGCCAGCCAATCCCCCTTCTGGCAGAAATCACCCAGAAGTTAGTGTGAGCTGTGAGCCATGAGAAAATTCTATGAGTCTGCTTTTTCCTAAGCAGTAATTTCTTTCTGGCCTCGCTTGCAAAGAAATGGTGTCATGCCAAGCTTCAAGGCGCCACTGAAATAGCTGTCGTGGAATGAGGTCGAGGCCCCTTCGTCACCTGAAACTGCCTGCTATGACTGGGAAGACAAATTCGTAGCTTGGTGGCATATTGGAGAAGGATGAGCAGCCATGAGAGCTGTTTTCAAGCACAGAACTGCTAGCTAGTTTTGTTTTTGTGCTACTAAACTATGCATTTATTGCTAAGTGCTGCCCAGCACCGTCAACTGTAAGCTCATATGGAAGCAGTACAAGTCTGGATAGGCTCTCACCTTAGGGCTAATCGGTTTGGGTCTTGAAGGAATTGGGAACAGCACACTGTGGACAAGGATGATAACAATGCTTCTGGGAGAGCTGCAGGCTATTACCAGGTTTTTACAGAAGGGAAAGGCAGTGCAGATTTTGAACTGGAGAGAAAGCAATCTACCACTTGAGAAAAAGCATTGAACTGTGGCATATTTAACTCCATCAAATACATCTGTTGCACTACTAGGCTTCAGTGGGACATCTAGAGTCATCTAATGCAATTTGCCAAACTTCTTTCAGGTTTCCATCTTACATAAGACTCCATGCACTGTGCAAAGACAGAAGAAGCTCCTTTTGCTCTCCTGGGATTTTTTTGTAAACCTAAGGACACTGCAGTTACATCCTTTATGCTACAGAGGAGATTTAAGAGCTGAAAACAGCATTATCCAAGTTGGAATTAATAGCATTACAATGTCCTGATTTATGCCCTACACATCACAGAACATAAAAGGAATGAGGGTTGTAGAAACTCAGTTTTGAGTCAATGGAAGAAAAAAGGAGCAGACAGGAAACCCTGGTCTCTCTGCTCTGGCAAATATGCCAGACTTGAAACAACAGTAATTTTACCTCTGTTTTTCTTTTATGTCATCTTCTAACTCTAATTATGGCTTCCAAACTCTACCAGAAGTTCACAAAACTGCTTCCATCTGTCACTTAAAACACAGTTCTAGTTAAACTTAAAAACTGATTGATTTGGTAAGTTTGAAGGATACTGGGTTAGCTGTACTGTGTGCTCTGAATGCTCAGCAGCACAAAGCTGCGATAAACATTAACGTGGTCAGGTAGCTGGGATGTCAGATATATTTTTTATATTGCTTAGTCAGTTTTAGTCACATAGCAGAAAAGATAATTTCTGTCATGTTCATATAAAAGTATCAGTATGGATTCTATTTCCATGCCATTTTAGACATAAAAAGAAAAGAAATTAATGCATTACTTTACTTCTCTTTACAGAGTTTGTACATTTTACTTTGGCTAAGTAATAATCCATTGCTCTATCCATCATACTGTTCTCTGATCTCTCAATTTCTACTTTTGTGGCTTTGGTTGGGTTTTTAAGATTTGGATGTATTTAGAAATGTAAGAAACAAAGCATAGGAGCATTGCCACATAGAAAGATGAAAAAGAAAAAGGAATAGCAACTATAAAGAAGCTGCTGCAGTTCAGGTAGTTAAATGGCTAGCATCAAGAAAACAACTCACAGAGAGGTGTGGTATTTGAATGTCTGGAAAGGACATTCAAGGCTTGTGTTCCTTATTCTTAAAATTGCTGGCCCTGGATAAAACCACTTCTTTATTGAGACATCATTTTTTAAAAATCAAATTATATTAATGAGCATATATATATATATATTCTACATATTTATGGAACTGTATAGAAAATAATATGGTAAAGGATTCCACAGAGGCTCCCTGCTGAATGTCTTTTGTGATAAGCTTGCATATAAGAGCAGAATGCTGGACACATTGTTCTCCAAATAAGCCATTAAAGCTGCTTCACTTGTCCTCCAGACTGAGTTTCTGGAGAATGACAATTACATTACATCCATTTTGGGCAAAAGACGAGGAAAAAAGGGGAGGAAAACACAAAGTGCAAATCTGTCCCCTCTCTGGCCTGGCCTTCATAGGTATTTCTCCTAGTTGTGAGAAACAAAAGGTAATATTCCATAATAGCATATACCTTATTTGTGGCATCAATAAATTTGACTCCCTTGTAAGATACAGACAGGACAATGGTTGGTACTTTCTTCATCTGTTCTGTAGACTTCTGAAATCAAAATGAAGATATTATTATTCTTAGAGTCGTGTTGCATTGCAATAACAGTGCTCTCCTGATTAAATACCTAAGTTAAACAAATATTTTACTTTTTCTTCAGCTGGCTGTGCTCTGGGCTTATGCTCTCTTGTACTTAGAAAACTAAAATAGCTTTAAATTAATTGTGAGGATAGTAAAAATTCTCCTTTTTTTCTAGCGCGATGAGAAGAGAATAAAGTAGCTTTTCCAGGGTTAAAAAGACGAGCCATGCAACCAGTGTTTCCCAAACCGTTTGTGTTCAGGACACCTATCTGATATGCCCCATCCACTGCTGCCTCCCTCCCCTTCTCCTGCCCTTCCCAGCTGGAAGAATCTACACCACAGTACTTCTTGTAGTACTATTTCTTTGCTGTAATTAGTTGTTATTTAGAAATATTTCCCTGTTTTCCCCTTCTTTGCAGCTGCACTTGTGACATGAGGTATCCTTGCAGCCCGCTAGTCCTGCCAGTCAATCTGTCAGCCCAGAGCTGTATCTTGTCAGTCTGGCTGTCTGCACTTCCAGTGCAGCTGCAACTGGAAGCTGCTTTACACGTGAATTAGCACAGAGGCTTATTCTGAATTCCCTCAGTGCCAGGTTCTCCTACCTACAGTTCATGCCCTCCCATAAGATTGTTTTTCCTTTTATGCTAGGCTACTTCTGTGTGCCTTCATTGTGATGCACACAGCAAACATATTTCCTGCTGAACAGACTGGGAAAATATTTGGGGCAGATTTCAGTTCTCTGCAGAAAAAAAAAATCTTCAGTTTACAGATTAAATTTACTAGAACAACCCCAAAACCAACCAAACAAAACCCCCAAATGTGGCATAATATTTTGTAACTGATTTGAATTATTTTAAGGTTGACGACAATGATAGACTAGACTATTCTACACAAAACTTACTATAGTAACATTCAGAAAATGCTTATTTATGGGACTAACTGCAAACAATCACACAGATCAATCAAATATTTTCCTGAGAGGAAATGAACTGTTGACAGATACAGGTAAACATGAAGAAACATCAGCACACAGAAAGAAAGTGTAAACACACTGAAAAGTCTAGAACTGGCGCATAGGAAAATCATTAAAGCAGCTGAACAAAAGTAGCTGTGGTGGCTTTGTATTATTCAAAAATAGCCCAAAGAAGCAGAGATGGAAACTTGAAAACATGATTTGCAACTAAAAAAAATATGTTTGAAAAAATAGGCAATGCTAACACTAGACAGCAAAATAAACAGAAACTTAAAACAAAAAAATGCCCTGTGATCATGTCTTCTTATTGGCTCTTGATACTCTCAGAATCAAACAAGGGTCCATTTTTGTTAGCATAAAATTCAAAGTTACAGATCCAGCTATGTTCTGCAATTAGTGTCCATGCCACCACGCAGGCTAAAACCTCTAAATACAGTTTCAAGGAGAGCCCCACCCATCTGTGTAATAGAGAGCTTGTTGGATCTCTCCACATCAAATGACGAGAGACTTGAGACAGCAATCAAGTGTCAATTTATCCCAGAGAAAACTCCTTTCACCCTGAATGCTCACCACTTTTGAGAAATGAAAGCTTAAATGTTAAAACATCCTGAAGAATTTTAACAAAATTTGAAGAAAAACACTAATCTGATTTGCATGCCTCTGAACTGAGTGGAGAAAGAAAAGGTATCCTTGCCAAAAGCAGAGCAAGCAGCTACCTGTGTTTATGTGTGTGTGTCACTTTAACAGATCTTTAAACATATCTTTTCATAAAATTCAATTTCAATGCACAGAAGGCACAACAGTAACTGTACAGAAGCTGCAATACATAAATCTATCAGAATAAAAAGCAATGAACACCGCCTATGCTCATACTAGACAAAATAGCCACAAATATCACAATATCACTTTAATCATCTGGCAAGGCAGCAATCATTCTACTTTTGTCCTTTCACTTTAGTCCAACAGCTACACACAAGAGAGCTTTCTTTTCCATTTTGATTATTGTAATTACCTCCTTCCTTCCTCCTTAACAGCAAAATTCCTTTTCTCCAACATGCTATAAAAACACAGGTACTAAATTCACATATTTTAATTTTTCAGTATAATTCCCACTGTCTGGTATTTGCCATAAAGGTGAAGCATCCTGTTGGCCAGGCCACATTGTATTCATTACGTCTGTCTTCTAGACCTGTAGTTTGTAATTTAATCATCTTCATCTGCTCCACATTCACCTGGGTTTGTCTTGACCAGACCTGACCTCTAGTATTTAATCAGGGTTGCAAACTGCCAGAAGACTGTCTCTGAGTGAAACAGCTCATCAAGATGCTATTAAATTACAGCTGGCAAATTAGGAAACGAATCAGAGACTGATGGACATTTGTAATTTATTAAGGCAAACCATCTCAGCTGGTAAGGAACACAGGCTATTTCTCATCAGCTTACAAACCGTACAAACCCCAGGATTTGTGTTGGAAGGTGTTCTGGAAGACTGCAGTGCAGTGTAGAATGTGGGGCAGCAATTCTGCACTTGTACTCCCATTGAAACAAACAGCTGGGCAGTGGAATAACATCCTTTGTTATTACAGCAGTGCCATCAAGAAGAACACTCGGCTCTATTCCTTGGCTCAACTGTTAGTGATACAGTAACTGAGGTCCACCAGATAATTATTATTTCCAAGCAGTTTCCAGGCTTCAACAGTTTTGAGTTGTCATGGTGAGCTCACACTATTTGCTTTCTTTTTAACGAAGGAGTTGCCTGCCAGAATGTGTAACGTGTGAATTCAGAGATACACTATGAATACCTTTTGCTCACGCCCTGTACGTGCTTTGGCTCTGAATTCTAGGAATGCTGAGATGAAGTCCCATGGCTTTCTTGGTCAGACATTTCACACCTCTGTGCAGGCCAAGTGGGCATCTCTGCCCATGTCTGTGCCCAGAATCTGAGAAGAAGTCAGTATTCCCTTTCCTTGGGTTTTTACGGTTCTAGCCATCGTACTAACTCCATGAGGACACAATGAGATGACAAAATATTCTTGTCCATCTGGTGTCTCTATGGGAAGCATATGGACTTGAGCCAAAGTTATAGGAGCCACAGCTGAAGGCTGGTATTGGATGTCATGTGCATGCTGACATACGGTCTCATGCTCCAAGGCATGTTCATACCATAGAAGCAGGATTAGATTTCATCTCACAAAGAAGCAATCATAGTGACAGGACACTGTCTTTGGGCAGGTGCTCACTAGCCTGGAACTGGTCATAGTTCCTACAAATTCCATTGTTTGTGACTGTAACTGGCTCTTGATTTCAATACACTTCTTTAGGAGAATCACCTGGGTGAACAGCAAGCCTATTCCAGGCTCCTTGCCGGTGCCTGCTGCTGATCAGCTGGTCACCTACGTCAGGACAGATGTGCATGCCCCATCTCCATGGGTGCAGTGCTCCTGCACCTAGGAGCCTTTGTCCTGCACAGTCTGCAGAGAGACTGAGCTTTGGTGCCACCTCTGAAATCCTTGCTGCCAGACAGGTAAATGACTACATGAAAGCAGGCCATGTATAATTCAAGAACCATAAAACAGGCTTGTGTGCATTCACAGGAAGATAGAAGAAAGTGTCACCATCCTAAATCTAATTTGATACATGTGCAGTTTCCCCAGATTCCTTAAAAGACACAGAACATCTTTCTCTTCAGGAAATACTGGATATCTGGAGTATCAGTCTTGTCTATATTTTGATGCAGCTGCTGGAACAAAGTTGCTTCATCCCCTCAGCACCCACAGTGCAGATCAGCTGAGTGGAAGAAGGTAGAAGGTACCTTCTGCATAACTATCTGGTCACTACAGTGACTGCTTTTTAACAGTAAAGGTCTGAACTTAAGACTGTTCTGAGTTTGCATCTGAACCCACTGCTGCCATTATGTAGGACAGTGCCAAAACCCTGCCTAGGCTCGGACAGTGCTGGTCCCAATTTTTCCTTTTGAAATGGGTCACAAGGAGATGCAAGAGCAGTAGTGCCAGAGAGAGCAAGAGAGGGAATGCAATCTTGCTTCTCATCTTGTTCATGGATTTCCTTAAGTTTCACTGAAAAAAAAAAAAAAAATCACTCCCATATCCAGAGCCTAAACTTATTTTCATATTATAGTAGTACTACAAATTGTCTTAAGTAGGTAAAGCATTTCCACCTGCATATTGATTTTGAGTTAAAGGCTGTCTAGAACTGCTAGACATTTATTTAGAATATAAAATAAAATCCAGCTATCAATCCAAATTTGAGATCCACCCTGCCAGTATGCCTAACAAATCAAGGTAATTAACAATGGCTTAAGAAGCAGAGGACTTAATAAAGTAATATAAACTAGTGGTTTATTTTTAAAAAGCAAATACAAAACCTGCAACCCTAAAGGGCCTTTAACTTTTTCAAGACAGGATTGCACCTCAATACCTTATTCTGTGCAGAACTGAGAGCACTAATTCAACCTTTGAATGCTCCTGCAGTGTACAAACAAATAATGGCATCTCTGAGTACATAACCACACAAAGCAGCTGAACAAGAAATTCAGAAATACACTTAGAATGGTGTCCAAGTAAGTCCTTGATGTACTGTAGCACATAGTGTAACATGAAAAATCTTTCATCTCATTTATTTATTTCCTGCCAAGAGGAATGGGGATACTCTGGTACTTCTACTTTGCCATGTTGACTACTTCAGGGTACTTATACATGCATTTATAACTAGATTACACAGCTTTCATACAGTGGCCAAAATGAAAACAGATTAACTTTTAAGGTTTATATGTAATTATATTTGATATTGCAAATACACAGTACAGAAACATTATTTAGCTATGACAAGTCACCAACAACACCATACATAAATAAATTCCAACAAAAAGTTTATGAGCCTGTAAAATCTTAAGTCTTCATCTTGGCTTTCTGCTTTTGCAAATGAATCTTCCGTCCTATATTGATTTTTAATAATATGAACACAGTAGCTGGCAAGT